TGCAGGATGTAGTACTGGCTTGCAATGCGGCCAATGTCCTTGCTGCGGAGCTCCTCGGTCACCTCGTTGAAGATGATCATCTGGCTCTGCTGGAGCGTGCGGGCTGCCTGGATCGCCAGCGTGCGGCGCCTTTGGACGAGCGTCGGGTCGTCCCTGATCTCAGCCCACTCGATGCCGTAGCTCATGGGGCTCCGTTGCATGCGGACGAACAGGTACGAGTAGCCGATCCACTGGACGGCCTCGGGGATGGACGTCACCGTGCCCAGCGCGATCTCGGCGTTGAGGTTGTCGACCAGCTTCGTCGAGAACTTGGACTCGATCGGCTGCTGCTCCGTGACGGTGGTCAGGTAGTGGTGGAGCCTATCCTGTGTCGTGCAAATCATGCCAATACCGGTGTCCTCGAACTGCGGACGACCGGCACGACCAAAGATTTGCAACACGTCGAGGATGCCGAGGTCGACAAACTTGCCGTCCTGGGCGCTGTAGACCTGGGTGCCCTTGATGACGACGGCCGCGGCAGGCAAGTTGACACCCCACGCGAGCGTCGCCGTACAGCAGAGCACTTTGAGGACGCCTTCGGCGAAGAGCCGCTCCATCAGGTTTCTGTCGGAACGGGCCATGCCAGCATGGTGCACGCCGAGGCCCTTTGGGATCAGCTCGCGCAGGTCCCGCGCCTTGGACGACTTCATGTCCCGCACCGCGTTTTCGTACCCGGGGTGCATGGTCGGGTCGAGGAGATCGACGCAAAAGTCTTCGACGGCCTTCTCGTACAGCATCTTAGCCGTGGCCATGGTGTCCCTTCGCGAATGCACGAACACCATAACCTGGTGGTCCCGCTGGAGCATGTCTCTGACCTTTTCGAAGGCGACCTGGTCCAGGTTCTCCTTGGACTGCTTCGAGCCGGCCTTGCCCTTGACGCCGATGAAGTGCTGCTCCAAAGGCACGGGGCGAAAGGACGCATCAAAGTAAAAGAGGCCCTGGTACCGGTTGACCTTGAGGAAGTCGGCCACGTCAATGTAGTTGGGGAGCGTGGCACTCAGACCGACGATGCGGATCAGCGACTGGGTGCTTTCAACCTGGCGCTCCGTTCTCGCGACGAGCGATTCCAGCACGGCACCGCGCTCGTCGTGGAGCATGTGCACCTCGTCGATAATGAGGAGGCGGACCTTTTGCACCAGCTCCGTGTCGCCGGTGCCCTTTCTCGTGACGACGTCCCACTTCTCAGGGGTCGTGACGATGATTTGCGTCTGGACGATCTCGGCCTTGGTCAGGTGCATGTCTCCGGTGAACTCGCGACACTTAATGCCGAGCCAGGCCAGTCGCTTGCCGAGCTTCTCGGTGACCTCCGCCGCGAGCGCCTTCATCGGGGCGACGTAGACGATCTTGAAGTCCTGCGCGTCGACTGCAAAGTCTGTGGTGGCCGGGTCCTCGATGGGGTTGGGCGTGCAGTAGTGGCCGATGGTTTGCAGGATGGTGAGCATGGCGGCGTCCGTTTTACCCTGCACCCGTCAGTATGATTACGGCTTGAGGGGATGACGACTTACAGCACCAGTGGGCGCGCAGATGAGCATGTTCTCGTTCGTCCTGTATGCCACCGGGTGCACCAGACTCTGCATGCGGTTGAGCGTCTTGTACCCCTTGAAGGTCCCGCGGCAGAGGCCGTCCATGTCGGATATCTTGACCAGCTTCTGGCCGGGACCTAGGACGCCCTTCTTTCCCGCAGGAATGGCGTATTCCTCGTACTTTTCGAACTGGAGCCTCTCACTCCCCGTGGGGAGCGCGTACTTTTTGCCGGAGTGACTGAGAGAGTTCCCGGCATTGTACGCCTTGTAGACATGGGGGTACTGAATCTCCTTGGTCATGGCCGGAGCAAGGGCCGCATTCTTGTGCTCGTAGTCCTGGCGTCTCAGCGCCTCCTCGCGCTGGGATTTGGTCAACAGTCGCCCAGTCGCCTCCTGGGCCCCCTGTGAGGTGACGGCGGTCACAATCTCGTCGCGGTGGCCGAGTAGCTCAATAATGAAGTCAAAGTCGTCAAAGCCGATGAGGTCAGCCAGCTGCGACTGCAGCTCCTCGTCGCCCCGGCCCGAGGTCAGCACACTCATGACCTGGCTCTGGAAAACATCCTCGGCCAGGCCGTTCTTCGCAGCAATGCCGGAGCACTTGCTCGCAAACCAGGCAGCGCCGTATGCGGCGTCTCCGTTGAGTGCGTCCGGGCCGTCGAGCTGGTCACTGCTGTAGTCGTCTTCGTCGTCGTCTTCGATGAAGTCCCACACGTCCTGTGCGCCGTTTCCCGAGGAATACCCCTCGTAGTCATCGTCAAAGTCCACTTCAGATAGTGGCGCGGACGGCAGCTTCAGACTGGCGAGGGCCGTTTTCATGGCTTCGAATTGAGCCCGCCATTGGGCCTCGGCGGTGTCGAGGTCTGCGGGTGCCATTGTGAGTGAGTGTTGTATGAGTTGTGAGTGATGATGGATTCGAGTGTCCGTCAACGGCAGTGAAATATCATCTTCATGGCACTGCACTAAACACTGATAGAGGAGTCATTCACCGAGCAAAGTGGGGCGAATCAGCATGCAGTGTCGTCTCTGCAGCAGTTGTGTCGGTCAGCCAGTGACGTCCGTTTGTTGGTGGGGTTCTGGCCGTCCCCCGCCAGGCACTCGAGACACTCACTGTACGGATGCAGTGCTGACCGCCACCCTCCACTGATGTGGACGGGGGTGAGGGCCATCCGAGCCTCCGACGACCATTGTCCTTTATGCATAAGCCCAGCCATTGACATGCTGGACCTGATGAGGCAAGGTACGCCATCATGCCGTAAATCCAGACGTCGACCCCCTGTAGCGAACTCAGAGGGCACCCGTCCAAGCCAGGTCGGGTGCCGCACCACCTTAATTGCTCTGCAGCCTGGAGGGGCAGAGCCAGGCCAAGTTCCCCTACTTTAGTGGGCATGTGATGTATCGCCCGCCCAAGACAGCGGCCTGCCGTGCGGCCAATCCCACCATAAACCTTGACGTCGCGGAGACGTTCTCCATCCCCTCCAACCTGGACAATCTCCTTTCTCCATTTCTCATATCAATTCCGCCAACTCCTGACATTTACCCCCGCGATACCGCCCTTTGCCTAGCCCGACGACCTCGAATCGTGTTAACACACAACACCGCACAGCGCATCGCCTACACGACACCGACTTGTTCCCCCGCCCCTGAAATACCGCCGTAAGTCCAGTCGGACCTCCCATCCCCGCCTAGACCGCCACAGGCACCACGACGACGACGATAAACTGACAGAGCAAACCTACCAGAAAATGAAGCTTCACTACATTGGCGTACGTCGACCATCCACACGCACTGCCCTCCGGCACAACCCGCTGACGCCACGCGCCCCCGTGTAGATCCTCCGCAACGACAGCAAGCCGGCCGTCGAGCTGTGCAGTGAGATGGAGCTGTCGGCATACTCGCGATTCACAAGAAGTACGTTTGCGACAGCACCACGGACATGGGCGGCAGCCCGGCAGACAGGCAACAGCGCTGACAGGATTGCGCCACAGACAGCTACGCCGAGTTCATGACCCTCTTCTCCAAGAAGGTTGCCGAGTCTACCCGTCCCGGCCAGAGACAGGATATCGAGGAGGGCGACAACACGTTCCACTGCGTGGGAAGGAGCGAAGGCATCTGCGGCGTGTAAGACGTTCTGTCCTGTTTGAAGTGCGACGGCTGATCACGCGACGTAGTATCATTTCCGACCACCAATACCCCAGTCTAGTAGCCCACCAGCTTCTCTCCAAGATCGTCGACGAGTTCCTCACCAAGCACCCGCGCTCCACGTGGGCCACCGGCGAGCCCAAGCTCGCCCTCCCGGAGCTCAAGGAGTACCTCACCAAGTACCAGGACCCCCAGCAGGCCGACTCCATCCTCAAGATCCAAAAGGAGCTCGACGAGACCAAGATTGTCCTGCACAAGACCATCCAGAGCGTGCTGGAGCGCGGCGAGAAGATTGACGACCTGGTCGCCAAGAGTGACGGCCTGAGCTCCCAGAGCAAGATGTTTTACCGTGAGTCTGCCACTCAACACACAGGAGAGCTTAGACTAACACCCCCATAAGAACAGGCAAAGAAGCAAAACTCGTGCTGCGTCGTCATGTAAAGCTGGTCTTCTCGTAACCCCCTTATCCTCATCCTCCTTGGTCATTTCACGTCTGGCGTTGGACGTTTGGACTCGTTTCGGCATAAACACTCGCTCTGGTCACGCTCGCTAGGATTGCAATGACAGAAATATCTTGCAGAGTCGGGCCTTTCGAATGCCTCATCAGTCTTGTGGAATGAAGGCCCGTGTTCATATTTCCGCAACTTGTGAACGATAGTTCAGGAATAATACATGATTGTGTGAACACCCCTGAGACATCCCTTGGCAGTGACATACTGCACATTGGCGCTTAGTCACGCGGCGGCATATCCAAACTCATCGGAACATGTTTGTATAGGTTTTAAGCTTTAGGATTATCTACCCAAAAAGCTTCCGTAGGTCATGGATGATTCAAGACTGGATAAAAATGAACAAATCAGACTGCCCGTCCAATGTACGCGCCGCGCCCCCTAGAGGTAAACCCCTTGAACAGTGGTATCGATGCGACAACCCTCGAGGTTGTATTAGAGAAAATGGAACAACAAACAACACGCCCCCCAGTGCCCTCTCAAAGTGTTTGTCAAAGTCGCTTGCAGACCGTTTTTTCTTTTGGTTGAACCCACACGCACACCGCTCAAATCAAACAAATGAAACAAGAAAAAGCAGCCCAGCTCTCCAAGCATAATCGTCTCGACGCAAAAAAGTGGTCCTCCAGAGTAATAGAGTTTCGAGAATGTAATAGTCAAAAGGGGTGGTTTTGAACATGACGGCCTGGGCGTCGAACGAGTGGACGAAGGGAATCGTGAAAAGAAGTGTCCATCAAGTGTGAAGGTCGTGATAGTGTTGTCGCATAAAGGGACATAATAGTGGCGAAGGCAATTATTCTCCCTCGACAATGATGCGCTCACTCTTGCGATTCTGCGCAATCTGCTGCTCAAACGTCTCCCCGGGGCTGATGAGCGTCGGCGTCGAGCTCTTTGTTGACGAGAGGCGTTCGTTCCTGCCAATGGTGACCGTGTTCACGCTCACCGGGCTCCTCATGCTGGGGCTTCCGGAGGGAAGGGCCGGCGTCTTGAGCGGCCGGAGCATCCGGCGCTGCGACCTTGAGATGCTGATCTGGCGCGCAATGGAGATCTCGACGGCAGCCTTCAGGGCGTCGTCGGGCTCCGACTCGTCAAGGGAAGGCTTCGTGACGTGCGTGTGGGCCGACGACACGGAAGCGGGCGATCGGTCCTTGGCGCTCGGGGCCGCGCTCGAGGGCGCCGTGGAGTCGGACTGCGTAATCATCTGCCACGCGGGCTCGTAAATGGTAGGCTTCAGCTGCTCCGTCAGGTGAATCTCCTCCGACTCCCGATCGTCGGTGGGAGAGTCGAGGAGGAGACCGGACTGCTCGGGCCCGAAGGCGAAGCCGATCGGAACGTCCTGGGGCGCCCTCATCGAGTCTGGGGTCGCGGTCCTGGCTCTTCCCGAGGCCTCCGCCTTCACGGCCTCGAGGTAGTAACGGGGTCGCGGAGGGTCGAAGCTGGACCTCGACGGGGACGGGAACGGCGACGTATGCGAGCGGTGGCGAGGCGACGCAGGCGGGTTGTTGGCCGATTCCGAGGGCGTCGCCGGGAACAACGACAGCGAAAAGGCTGGCGACTTGAGGGGTTGCGGTGACGTCGCGCTCCTACCCCTCATCCGCTCCTTCTCCTCCTCCTCCTTCATGACCTGGTCGTTAATCGTCTTGAGCCTGTCCAGCGTGGCCTGCCGCCTCGCCAACAATGCAGACGCCCCCTGTTGCTGTTGCTGTTGCTGCGCCTGCTGTCCCGGCGATCCTTGCGGCTGCAGGATGCCGCCAAACATGACGCTATACCGCTCCATGTTGATGCTCGGGATCTCCACGTCCAAAAAGTTTCCTGCGGGCTTCGTGGGGAGCGCAGGCACATGCATCGATACGTGTACCGGCGCGGAAATGTCCGACTTCTTCACCTTTTCACGGGTTGACCGTGTTGATGCCATCCTGCTGAGCAGCTTTGGCGGCTTCTGCTCCTTCGGGCTGGGCGGCGCGGCCATCGGCCCCGCGGTTTGTGAGCGGACCATGGCCGGTTTGCTGTCCCCCGGTCTCCTCTCGGTGTTTCGTCTTCCCAGATCAGTCGCCTGATTGCTCGGTGGTAGGCTCTCGAACTCCCGGGTGCTGGCCATTGGTTGCTGGAGATTCATTGGTTGTGAGATGGCGACGGGTGATGAGGCGAGCCTCTTGCTCTTTGAGCGTCCAAACAACTTCCATCGCCCCGACTTCTGTTTCGGCGCCGGTACGGGTTCCGCGGTCTCCATCGGCGAGGGTAGAGGCTCTGGTGAGGCTCTCATCATGCTGGTGCTCATGCTCGACGCCTGCGGTTGCCAGTCGTTTCTCGGCTGTGCGGGTGGTGGTGGCGGCGACGAGAACTCGGGTGGGATGTGAGTCGGGCTTCCTATCGCCATGCCAATCGCAATCGTTCCCATGTTGCTGTCCATCGAGTCTGGCGTCTGCGTCCTGACGGTGAATGTCCGAGCCGGTGAAAAGTCGCCGGGACTCTCTACCGGGGATGCTGGGTTGTCCCGTATCGGGATGTGGTACGATTTGAAGCCTCCGCGCGCCGACGACTGAGGCCTGATGTACATGTCATCCTTGGAAATCCGTCTGTCGGCAAAAGACCTGAAGCTGGCAGTGCTGTTGTTATGAGGGGAGAGCCCTCCGCTGGTGCTCGGCCGCTCGGCCATTGTTGATGATGCCTTGGAGCGAGGAGGTGTAGGCAGCGGGCGATGGCGGTACGTGTTACGAGCTTCGACGACGGCGGCGGCGTCGGCGGCAGCACCCTCTGAGGAGAAGGAGGGCACGCTCTCGTTTTGAGAGAGGCTCGAGTCTTCCTTGGCCAGTTGGAAACTTGACACAAGACCCGGCTCCCCCAGGACGGGGGACTCTGGGCCGTGCGTCTGCGCACCACCGGGGGCCCCTCCACCAGTCCTCATGCTCTTCATAGATCTGGAACGGTTGACCAATTTGAACATGCTCCTCCAATGGTGCGTAGCAGGAAACCTCACAATGCTAGCGCCTGGCCGATCCTTGTTGACAGGGCTGGAAAGCAAGCAAAGCAGGCGGGCTGCCCAGGACGTGGAGCGGGGTGTTGGGTTTCGAAAAAGGAGATGATGAGAGGCGATTTGCAGAGCTAGCGGCCAGGAGAGACTTCCAGGTTGGATCGTAGTTTATCTCTCTGAGAAAGTAGAGGGAAATGGTTGGAAGAAAAGGTTGATTGAGCGGGAAAAAAAACAAGACACACAGAGACCCGACGAAAATAGAGAGTAGACCCAAAACCTCCCCAACCCGGTTGCCTGTCGTACCCATACGGCATGCAAAAGACAGGAGATGACCCAGACTGGGGGTCCCTTCGACTTAACTTTACTTTGATATCATTCACTCTCGAGAGTCGCCTCTCCCGCGGCCGGGCGACCCAGAGCCCGCAGCCCGCAGCCCAAAAAGCCCAGAAGCACTCTGTTCTCGCCCCCAGCACGCGACTCGCAACTTTGTCGCCTGTTTGAGATTGATAGGACGGATATTTTAGGGGGGGCTGATCAACACAAGGATGACGAACCTCCCATCCTGTCCATGGGGTGGTCTGTGGATCAAGGGTCCCGGTCGTTTGTGAACGATAAGTCGCGTATCTTCTGCGGTCGAGTGGAGGTTGTGCGGTTTCGTGTGTCAGACTAGCGAGAACTGTAGGGAAGACGGCGGCGAAGCATGATTAACGGAGTCGTCAGCTGCATGGCATGGGCGGCCGAGAGGTCCAGAAGCATTTCACGGTCTGATTTTGTTTTGACACTGCCGTGCGCCCAGGGCTGCTGGCTTGCTGGCTCGGGGGTCTTGTGATATGCAGTACCTGCAGTAGGTGCCGGAGGGAGGGGAGCTGGAGAATAGCCTCACGTCGTGTTGCCGCGTCTGGTCATCTCCCGCCCCCATCGTACGCGGCGGTTGCCGGCGAATGTCCCAACATCGTTCTGGGTCCCTCGTCACAAACCTCATCAGAGGCAATTTGAGTTCAAATTGACGACGCCCACAACCTGACGGTGCCCTTGTCGAATCGTGCCGTACCATGCCGCTAGAGGGGGAGGGATTCGAGAAGGATGGAAAGAAGAGGAGGGTCGCATCCGTGCTCGGTCTGCGGGACATCCTTGGTTGGTTGGGTTACCCCGGCCCGGGGGACAAGCCTCAGGGTCGTCCCTGTCAGACCGCACGTCCTCTCGCCGTGGTTACGCCCCGACCGCTCAAGCCCAAGCCTCGATGAAATCGATCCGCAACGCTGGGGGGGAAGGACGGCTTTGCGACAACTGACCGTTGACGTCGTCGTCGCCTGGTTGGTCTCCATGGCGAATTGGACTGCCGGGATCCGAAGATGAAGCGATGGGACTGGCACGTCTGGACCTCTCTCTGCTGCCCACAGGCCTGAGTCGCCTGCCGTCCAGACTCGCCGTGCATCCTCAACGGTCGCCAGGCTGAAGATTGCTTCATTTGAAGTTCAATCAAACAACCGATGCCGCCAGCGAATGAGAGTTACACGACGTTGCAGTCGCGGATCCTCTCCGCGCCAAAGACTCATTAACGGCGCCCTGCCCGCGCATATTCCGATCCCCCACTCTGACATCAAACGGGTCTCTGGTTTAAAATGAAAGGATCGAAGACGTTGTTGCTCATCCGGCTTCCCACCAACCACGGTCCGCAATCAAGGAAACAACCTTCTCACACAAGCTCTCTGCCCGCCCAGCGTGACGCCAGCGCAGTGCAGTGTAATCTCTCAAATCTTGGAGATTTCCCGGCTGATTCTCCCACCGCTTGTTTTCTGTTGGACCCATGGGCCATTGCCTTGCTGGACCTCCGGGCGTAACAGCCCGTTGTGTCGCTCGTGCCGTCCTTGCAATTGACCAACAATGCGATGGCAATGCGATGGCAGCGCGATTGCGACCGGCTCGCACTGCTGGCCAAGCCACCGCGCGTGTTCGCACCCACGAGGTCGGGCGCTGGTGGTGCACGCCGTTGCTGAATAATAAGTCCGCCGCGAACTGTGTCAGCATCCCAACGACTCTGTGGGCTCCTAGCCCTTAGGGCCATCGTCTCGTGTGTGCGACCCGGTATTCCAAAGTGACAGGTACACCGTCCCAAAAAAGCGCACTCTGACTGCGTAGCATTAAGAAAGCGTCGTATTGAAACAGACTTGCTGGGTCACGAAGCGCTATTGCCAGGCGTCGCCGATTTTGGGGGGTTTGGCTCTCGCTTGCTTTTAGGCGTGCTCTGTCTGCGCTTAGGCCGTGTGCTGCTTGCTTCTACCAGTCGACGATAGACCCATAGTCGGATCATGTCCTGGGTTCTTGAGATGACATTTACGGATCGCTGCGCATCCAGGAGCTCTGCGCGCGACAAGGCTGAACGTGACCGGGCTTCTGAGGGAGTCAGGAGGACTGGAGGATGCGACGAGGCTGCCCAGCGAGTGGGTTTCATGTGTCTTGTCCGGGGTCGACGGCCGACTGATCGTCTCAAGATTGCAAATTCGCGGTATCTGCTTTGTGGCCGGAGCGCAGACTGTCGATAAGAAAAAGCTCCGACGTTCTAGTCGCTTCCGATGTCGTCTATGATGAAGGTGTCAAAGTCTGCCCCTGGGGGCGCCCTAGCCAAACATGCCCTGGTAGCGTCCCTGGTCACATCCAGGAGCCCGACGGACGCCAGGAGAACCAAACTTGTTTGATGGTGAACCACAAAGCATTCTTCCAAGGTTCGTCTGAAGGCGCTGACTTTGTCGCTGCTACCTGGCGGTTGATGTGGTGATGGTTAGTTCAGCGCTTCTAAGCCGTGAACCTGCATGCGCTGGGAGCCGCAGCACCATCCGAGGGCTGGATGCGTCGACCAAGTGAAGAGGCTCAAGACCCACGCTTCCTCTGCCGCCGTGCCTCTCGATGGCCAGCCGCAATCCTCCCGTCCATTCTTCAGCCTTGTATGCCGGTCGTCTGGCTGTGTGTAAGACGCAGGTGCTGAGGTCGATGGGATGACAAGAGGATCAGGCAAGGAGTGATGCTGCGGATTCAAGCGTAACGCAGCCCCAGCCGACGATCCGTTGACAATGTTGCATCCCGTCCAACGTTCCCGGGAGAGCTGAAAGAAACAATTCGCCTCACCCATCTGCAAGCATCCGATGAGCAAGAGGCCCAGGCCTTTTTCGTTATTTGCAGCAGCCCACAACGGAGAGCCAGCCGGCTGGCCCAGAGCAGACCAGGACCGAGCTGGACGGAATGCATGTCGTCCAACGGAAGGCGAGTTGTGCTCCAGACCGCGAGCGGCAGCGCGAGCGGACCTCCGTCGTCGGTGCCTCGATGTTGCCCTCTTGCAGCTGCGCGCCGTCAGTCCCAACAGGGAGTTGAGTTTACGCAGTTGCAGGCCTGAGAGTCTGCCGGCAGGCTTGGCATGACATGGGGCTCATCGTGGCTGGCGGCAGCAGGTGGCTGATGCATTGCCGTGGCGCAAATTCATGCATTCTGAAGCGGAATCGCGTCACTACCGGCCGCACGGTGCTTGGACAGGTCAATTGGCACAGTCACCCCGCCATCACGTGATAGCAGCATTTGGCGGGGCAGAGTCCGCAGCGAAACTGGACGAAGGCAGTTCCTTGTTGTCGCAGAGCCCGTCTTTCTGGGGGCGGACGCTAAATGGCGTTTGCCGTGGATAGCAGGCCTGGTAATACTGCTAACGTGAGTCGAGGTAGGGAACCATCTTGCGGTAAGATATTTGGCCCCAAAGGCGGTGATGGAAGGGCCCGGCGGATCACCCCCTATGGAGACCGGCCGAGCTTTCTCCCCCCTGGTGGTGGAGGACGATTGGCCGAGGTCGCAATGGCAACAGTCAACAAATGGACTGACCGACTGACTGACTGATGAGGCTGGCGATGTGCGCAGGCGGACGATGCTGCTGCTGTTGCTGCTACTGCTTCTGCTGCTGCTGGGCCCGGGCCTGCAGGATAAACACAAATGCCAAAATGATGGGATCAGGTACACTGCAGGTAGCAGAGCACAAAGCCGGCTCGGGAGGCGGTGGTCGCCTGGGAAGCCAGACAGAGTCACCACCCCGCCGCATGAATCCAGGACAAAGCAGCCCGTGGCAAGTGGAAGGGACCAGAAACACTTGTATTCGCCTAGTTGCAACCCGTGCTGAAGAAAGTACCCCGCCCCGCGGCGCTCGCCCCGGCGACGACCTCTCAGTTCATAGCGGTGTACCCCGCCCGGCCCGCTGGACCTAAAAATTGATGTATCTCTAAGAGGGGCAGGTCAGGCAGGAGGGCGACCAAGAAACACATCTCAACCCGAAATTCCTCCCTCCAATATCCCACCACACCGCGTCAAAGCTTGGGCTGCTGCACTCACACTCTTCGACTGAAGCTTCTTGTCTCCTTTTTTCCCGTATTTGCATCAGCGAGCACCAGGTTTCCTTCCACTCCTTCACCATGTCGTGGCAAGGTAAGCAGAGCAACGGCCCAGCTCTGTCCAGAGAGAGGCCATCCCCGAAAACCCCCACCTTTGCCGAAACAGAGAGCTAACCTGTCGCCTTCGTCACAGCTTATGTTGACACCAGGTAGCCGCGCACCAGAGCTCTCCCCTTTTCCCATCCCGCGCCCGTCCCGTCACGGGCACCCGATGGGAGTTACACGGACGATCATGGCTGACATGGACTTTGCAGCCTCGTTGGCACTGGCCACATTGACAAGGCCGCCATCATCAGCATCGCTGGCGACAGCACGTGGGCGTCGACCGCCGGCTTCACGGTATGTCGCGGTGTTCTGTCCCTAAACATGCCGCCGGGTGCTGACTACGCTTGTGCACACAGCTTGCCGCCAACGAGATGAAGGTCATCTCCGACATTGTCAAGGGAGACACCGGCGCCAAGGACAAGGCCTTTGCCGACGGTCTCTACATTGCCGGTGACAGATTCGTCATGGCCCGCGCCGAGGACGGCACCATCTACGCAAGAAAGGTTGGCATCACAAGCCCCGAGAAGAGGCCCAGAGCACTGACATCAAGCCAGGGACGTGACGGCATCGCCGTCGCCAAGACCAATCAGGCCATCCTCGTCGGCCACCACAACGAGAACCAGCAGGGTGGCAACGCAAACCAGGCGGTGCAGAAGCTGGCGGACTACCTGGTCGGTGTCAACTACTAAGTGTTGCGAGCGTGGAAGAGCGGCGGAGGGTGGACGGGCGGCCCATCTGAAGGCGCCCTTGGAGTTTTACCGTGTGCGAGGCAGGCTGGGCATCTCGCTCCCACACACACGACGAGGATTTGACATACGAATCGACGAACACTAGATTAGCAAGAGTTACCAATGGCGGAATCTTTGCTTAGCCACGGCCATGTCCGGAACAGAGTCCCTGAATCATGCACTACAAGGTAATGCGGAGTGCTTTCGTACAGTCATTATCCTGACACCTTGGCCAAATCGATACACCTCGACGTATGATACATGTTCTGGAGAGACCAACACGCTCAAACCCAGCTGCGCCGTTCTGTGGTATACAACCCGTCTATTCGCTGTCCCATTCCGACCAAACCCATAATTGCGCCGTAACTTTAGATATCGTGTGATTAGACAGGTAGCTCCGCGTTTCGTCGACCGACACCAGACCGGTCGACCGCGACGCCAATGTACGGCCCAATAACGGGGATGTTCCTCGCGAACGCCGCAATCGTGCCCAAAAAGTCACCAAAGAGAACCATTATGCCGTAGAGCTCAACACAGAAGCCGATGAGGGGCCACCGCAGCAGAATCAGGGCGAGACCGCCAAAGAAGGCCGCCGTTCCCTTTGCCTTTTGTTTCCGCGCGAAGAAGAGGAGCGTCTTTTGCGGTCCGATGATTATCGTCAGGCCGATCAGGAAGAGGATCTGCGGCCGCGTCGGTCAGTTGGGTCGCACGTCAGCGTTTCAAGGGGGTAGATCGTACGTTTCCCATGGCAAGCCTGCAACAGACCGTCAGCTTCATCTGGAGAGACTCGTGTGCGGGAAAGGGGGGACGTACATGGCTCGGTCAAAGAAGAGCATCACTCCTCCGATGAGGAAGAAACCTCCTGAACCGGCGTCAGCTCCGATAGACCACCAATGCGCCAGAGCTCGGATAGAGCGCAAACCTACCACCAGAGCAGAAAATGACCCCAATCTCTGTAATTCATGTCAGCGACCGTCCAGAACGGGCAGCGAGGCCTAGGCAGCGTCGTGATGCGGCCGGCGTGAAGCTCCGCGGGTCGACATACTCTGGGAATCCGACATCCACATCGACGCCATCTTGCACGGTTTGGTTGACTGTCGAGTCGGGTGGGCTTGGGTTGATATCGGGGTTCGTTCGAGTGATTCGATGCGAGCCACAGGTGACTTGTGAGACTCGACGCGCAAACGTATGAAGGCCAAGGAGTTGTTGATCTGTAGCTTACTGGCGGGAGCAGACGACGACTTTTAGATTTAAGACCAGATCACTACTACACTAGGAGGAAATAAAGCCAGCGTTCCTGCCACGAAACAGGGGTTGCGCTGCTGCTGCCCGCGCTGTCACGGATCGTTTGGGGGATGGGACAACGCGCTAAAAATGCGCTGCGAGGGTTGGCCACGGCTTTTGGACCAATGGCAGCGGGGGGCAGACCTTGGTGGGGGTCGTGGGTGCTGATTTAACCCACGCTCACCTGTGGAAAATTCAAACGCTCAACTCACCATCCTCACGACCATGGAGCTCACAGCGACCGTCGCATGAACCGCCAGCTGGCGAGATTGCGGTTTATGCCGATATGCTTCTCGACGCGGCATGTTTGTTGACATTTGTCTGCTGAAGCTGCAACTCAAACACGAGTTGACGGGCACACGAGCAAGCTCACAATATGGGCAGTCGATGGACGTGGCAAGCGTCACTTCATCTAATTCGCCGCGGCGGCCGTAGCCTCGAGCTATGGCAACTGAGTATCGTCTCCCATACGTTCTCGGTAATCTGTCGATTCACAGGCGGAGAACAAATCTCTGATCACGATTAAGCCGGAGTGTCATCTAGCACCCTTTGCTGAAAGGCTGAGGGCTGTATAGTTGAGATTTGACTTTGTTGGTCGCACATATGCCAGCTGGTAGTACTGTTTTGAATACACTTCATTTCCCATGCTCCAAGTCCCAAACAACGTGACACCGTAACGCCTTCGCCGTGACTCCGCAAAGCAGATAACCCAGGAACGCCAACTTATTTGAGAACGGTGTGCGCTCCACGCGCCTCCAGGAACTGCTCCGCCGCGCCCTGGGGCAGCGTGCGAATCAGGCCAAACACCTCCTTGTCGTGGTACCGCAGCCGCGTCTTGGGGTCGAGGTACGGCGCGGGCAGGCCCGTGATGTCGCAGTACCGCTTCGTGTGTGCCAGTGACGGCGCCGACTCAATGTTGGTGTACGTAACGGCCGGCGCGGCGCCTCCGTTGGGCTTCAGGCTCTTCTCGAGAACGAGCTTCGACAGGCTGCGCGAGGCCTGGGCCAGGTTCGGCGGCAGGCCAGAGGCGTCCTTGCCGGTGGCTGGCGTCGAAGTGCCGCTCGTGGAGAGGCCGTCGTCTTGCTGACCGGCAGCCGGGGTGCCTGCGCCGCTGTTGTCGTCCTGCTGCGGGGTCGCCATGGCCGAGGCTTCGCGACGGGAGGCATCGCCGAGAATGGTCTTGATGTTCTTGTTGCGGCGCTGGTTGGGGCGCCAGGACGGGTTGCGGAAGCTCTTGTGGATTGAGTGGATGTCGATCTCGTCGAGAAGGGCCTGGTGGGCGATTTGCGCCTCCGTCTGCTCTTTTGGTGCCGCCATCATGTACTTTGCGTAGATAGGGTTGGGTGAGATATGTCGCGCAGGTCGTTACAGGCGTCGCGGATCGAATTGAGGGCGACGGGATGACGGTGCTGCTGGTTGAGGCAGCGGCAGGGGAGCTTATTCTGCCACGACTCACCGCTTCTTCGGTGTGTTCGGTGTGGTCGGGTACCTCTGCAACTGTCCTGGCGGGGATGGTAGCGTCACGTAAACAAACGAACCACCTTCACACACAGCAACAAAAGCAAGATGGTATGCTAATGTGATGAGTCTATTGATTTCGACGAGCTGACACCTGAAAAGGAGAGCCCACACGAGCACCAGCAGAACCTTTTGCTCTCTCGCATCATCACCAATGTGGTATGTTTACCAGACAGACTGCGCAGCATCGCGACTTACACGACGCAGGAGAAACTCAACGAGGCCGTTATGGTTATGAACAAGTCGTTGCAGGTAATGAAATCACATTGACATGCCCACGTCCGGTCTGACTGTGACAGGAAATCAACATCCAGAACATGAACGTCGAGCTTGTCGCTCAAATGTTCAAGAACTACCAGTCCAACGTCCTCTTCCACCTCGAGGGTATGTCCACCTCAATCTCTTTTGCTTACATCTACTCATTCGCACTAGCAACGGACAACTTGAAGCCGCCTTCATAGATTTTCTGGGATTTTCTTTGGGGTAATGGATGATCAATGAGATATGATGAGACGTGCTGGCGAGAAGACCAAGCGGTCATAGCAGAATACCCAAAAGAGACTGAATACACACTACGGTTAAAATGATTGACTTTCTGCTATTTCTGTGAATTAAAAGCATCTACGGATGTGGTCACCTCCCCCGGCCTCAAGTGTCGCTGTCCGGGTACCTGTGACCACTAACAGCTACGCCGCAGCACGTCCCGACCCACTAAACTTTACAGCCTCGTAGCTCAGGTAGCCTCGCAAGACGGCGCATCGCGACTTCAACACGACGACCGAACAGACGCATTGAACGAGACACACCTGACGTGACCCTTCGAGACAACCCTGCAACGTCCCAGACGATTGAACCCCATCCGCTTCGAATCGACCCGCACCCCCGGCATGGTCAGTCGCATCGCGACAGCCTAGACCCTTCAACGAGCATCGCGATGGCGCCCTCAGCGACCGAGGCGCTCCCTCCTCTCAAGGGACCGCCCGAGAGGACGTATCCGCCCGCCAAGATATTCCCGGTGAAGGAGGCAAAGTTCGAGAAGCCAATTGCCGTGCAGCATGACGGAAGAGAAAAGGCAGCCGCGCACCCGGGTGCAGCCATCGTCATTGACAACGGTGAGCACCGAGACAGCGAGCACGAGTGCCCGCCCGCTAACATTCACAGGCTCCTCGGCCGTGCGCGCGGGCTGGTCTTTCGAAGAGAAGCCCAGGCTGAACATCCCCCCGATCATGTCCAAATACCGTGACCGGAAGGCTGGTAAGACGTACTCCTTCGCGGGCAGCGATTGCTACGCCGACACGACGGCAAGGAGCCACATCCGATACGCTTTCGAGCAGGGGACAGGCATCGTCAGCAATTGGGACGTCATGGAGCACCTGCTCGACTACATCTTCCTCAAGCTCGGGCTCAACGGCGACGATGCGTCCATAGACGTGCCCATCGTCATGACGGAAGCGGTGGCCAACCTGCCATATTCACGGAAATGTAAGCCTTCCAATCAATCTAGAGACTACACCTCTAACGCATCACAGCCATGACGGAAATCGTCTTTGAATGCTACGGCGCGCCATCCGTGGCGTACGGCATCGATTCCCTCTTCTCCTACAGACACAACAAAGGCAACACGGGCATCGTGGTCTCGTCGTCCTACACTTCCACGCACGTAATACCCGTCTACAACCACAAGGCCATGTTGAGCCAGGCCACGAGGCTCAACTGGGGCGGCTGGCACGCGGCCGAGTACCTGCTCAAGCTCATCCGGCTCAAGTACCCGGCCTTCACGGGCAAGCTCAACGTGTCGCAGGCCGAGCACATGCTGCGCGACCACGCCTACGTCTCGGAGGACTTCGACAACGAGCTGCGGGGCTACCTGGACTGGACCGGCCTCGAGGACCGGGACATTGTGATCCAGTACCCGTTCACGGAGGAGGTCGTTGTTCAAAAGACCGAGGAGGAGCTGGCGCGCATCGCCGAGCGCAAGAAGGAGAGCGGCAGGCGGCTGCAGCAGCAGGCGGCCAAGATGCGGCTGGAGAAGCTCATGCGTAAGGAGAACGAGCTGGAGCACTACAAGAAGCTGCAGGCCAAGCTGGAGCAGCAGACCAACAAGAAGGAAGTGCGCCGGCTCCTGGACAGCAACGACCTCAAGGACGAGGCCGCGCTGGAGAAGGCCATTGCCGTGCTGGACAAGGCCGTCAAGAAGGCGCGCACAAAGGACGTTGGCGGCGATGCCGAGGAGGACCAGCAGGAGCCCGTGTTCGACCTCCTCGACGTGCCGGACGAGGAGCTCGACGACGCCGGCCTCAAGGCCAAGCGGCAGCAGAAGCTCATGAAGTCGAACCACGACGCCCGCGCGCGCGCAAAGGCCGAGAAGGAGGCCGAAAAGGCGCGCATCGAGGAGGAGAAGCGGCTCGACCAGGAGCGCCGCGAAAACGACCTCGAGGGCTGGCTCGAGGAGAAGCGGCAGCGGCGCGACCTCACGCTGCAGAAGATGAAGGAGCGCGAGCGTCTCAAGCAGGACCTCGGCAACCGCAAGTCGCTCGCCTCGCAGATCCGCATGAAGAGCATCGCCAACCTGGCCTCGGACAACCCGACCAAGAAGCGGCGCCGCGGCGGCGACGACGACAACTTTGGCGCCAATGACGACGACTGGGGCGTGTACCGCCAGATCGTCGTCGGCGACAACAGCGACGACGAGCAGGAGGAGGAAGACCTCAACGCGAACCTCAAGATCTACGAGGAGGAGCTGCTCCGCTACGACCCGGACTTCACGTACGAGGACACCCATGAGGCGCAGACGGACTGGTCCAAGTCGATGCTGCACGCCTTCGCCCGCGGCCCGCGCCCGTTCGACGCGGGCTCCCAGGCCGAGCTGAACCAGATCCACCTCAACGTCGAGCGCATCCGCGTGCCCGAGGTCGTCTTCCAGCCGTCCATCGCGGGCGTCGACCAGTCCGGCCTTGTGGAGATCATCGGCGACATCCTCAACCAGCGCCTCGGCGCCGTGCCGAACCGCGACGACTTTCTGAAGGACATCTTCCTCACGGGCGGCAACACCATGTTCCAGGGCTTCGACGAGCGGCTCCGCTCCGGCCTGACGCCGCTGCTCCCCGCCGACTCGCCGCTGCACATCCGCCGTGCCCAGGACGCCCTGCTGGACGCGTGGAAGGGTGCCGCCGGCTGGGCGGGCTCGGCCGCCTGGAAAGCCGCCACCATCACGCGCGAGGAGTACCAGGAGAAGGGGTCAGAGTATATCAAGGTGAGTCCACGCCATGATGCAGCGCTTGGACATGCTAACACGAGCCTAGGAACACGACCTTGGCAACACTTCATATGTATGATTAGTCGGGCGCTATTGCGGGAGCTAGAATGGGTAGTCGGGAAAATGGTCAACGTAGTTTACACAGTCTGCCACAATAAGACGAAAAGTCAGTTGACTCTCTTGGTCACCGTGACGAATACCATGGTGCGATTCTGCCCAGCGAAATGTCTGTATACACATGCAAGTCCCTCCACCCAAAGCGCATCACTGCCAAGGTCCTGCTGAAACCGAGTACTTCTCGAATGCTCGAAATAAGGGCTGCTGCCGCCTCCTCTTCCACTCACACAACAACCGTTCTCTTTTGATAAGTAGCGCAAGCCTGAGGCTTTGGCTCGACAAAAATTCCCTTACTCGAGAGTCTTGACTCAGGAGTAAGGTGGCTAGAAAATACAATTCATCCCTCAAACGCCTGCCCCTTGGTAATATCTTGACAAACCATTATACCGCAACGCCAACTAAGCAGAAACATTGAAAGGCTAGGCGTCAGCCCAGAATCAGCACCTCCACGACGAGCCCTACATCGACGCGGTTGGCGCGGCCGGGAGGCCGTCCTGCTGAAGCTGGCTGTCAATCTCCTCGCCCTCGCGCCGTGTCTCGTCCTTGCCCTGCTGCTCCGGCGAGAATGCCTTTTCAAACTGCTGGCGTCCCGCGAGCTGCTCCTGGGCGGCCAGTCCTGCGACGGCCTGCGCGACGGCCTCGAGCGGCGTGCCGGCGGCCGGATTGCTGGGCGCGACCTCGGGGGCGCTCGTCGCGGCGGAGGCGGGCGGCATGGGGGGCTGCGCGAGGTTGACGTTGGGAGGCGGCTGCGGGATCTCGCCCTGGGCGTCCAGCAACCTCGACTGCAGGTGGATGACGTATTCGCGAAGGGCGTAGTTCTCAGACTGCATCGCCTTGTAGCTCTGCTCCATCTCCATATAGTCGCGGACCTGCTGCTCCAGCTTCTTGATGTAATGCTCCTTGCGCTGGCGGAAGGCTCGCTGTTCGACGTGTTAGTCTCTGCCAATTGGCGATCAAATCAAGGGCGCGGACGTGTCAGATGTGCTTGCACCGACGGGACCGCAGTCAGACGGCCCAGGTGACGCAGTAAGCACCGAGACAGCTCCTGCGACCCGCACCAGTCACGCGCCCCCAGCGATCCAGCGCAAACCGTGTCAAGACTCACCTGGGCAGCTCTGTTTTGTGCGGCGCGCTTCGACTGCGAGAGCTCGCGCTTCGCCTTGCTACCGGCTCCACCGTCGTCCAGCGCCATGGCAGTCGAGGCGGGATGGGTCGGAGGAGGTGGAGGGGCGGTCGACGGGCCGGCAGCGGTGACGGGAGGAGCGGCTTGCTGAGGCGGGGGAGGGCCAGCAGGCATCATGTTCACGGCTGGCGCGTGGACGTTGCGAGCGGCTCGAAGATCGGGGTGGATGTGCGCTTCGGGGTCGGTGTTGTTGTTGGAGCTGCTGTTGTTGACTATCGGAGGCAAGACGTCAGAGGGCGGCGAGTTCGTGCCGTTACTATAGCCATGAGCAGGCGACGCGCTCGCTGGTTTGGCAGCTTGGGGACGAGCTCCGCGAGATGGGGCCGTCGCGTTGTCAGACGAGATGGGCGTGGTGTGCTGGCTTAGTAGCTCGAGCTGCGCTGCCAAGTGGGCTGTTTCTGTGGAGAGCACATATCATGTCAGCAAGACCGTCCGAAACGAACCCCGAGGCTTCTCAAGAAGCAGAGCCAGTGATTTGGGTTAAATAAGACGAGTTGCAGCTCGATGGAAGCGTCGGCATCATGAAAGGGAAAAAGTTCCCGAGAGAGCAGGGGTGTGAGAGAGGCGGCTGGGAAGGTGTAAGAAGGAGAGACGGCCACAAAAGCCGCAGCTCCCTCTGTACCTTGCGCGTCTGGTCCTCGAGACTGAAAGGGCCGAGATGCTGCCACATGCTGTCTCTCAACGATGGGGTTGGGGGGTAGGAGTGATTACATATCACCGAGAGACGAGACAGTAAAGAGAGCGGGAGAGCGCAACCTCTTGGGATGTAACGGATATCGCTGATTGCAACGTAGTTTTAACGTGAAAAAGAAGCCTGTCTTGGGCAAGAGTACATGGGAGTTGGGCCAGGTACAATGGAGAAGCAGTGAGCGATGGATGATGAGGTAAGGCGACTGACAGGCTAGGTCGAGTCGGTGGTAAGAAGAACGAGAGGGTAAGTGTGCAGCTCGCGAGCGCAGAGGGATGGGGATGGGATGCTCGCGGGACAGGCGGGAATTGCTCAGGCTTGAGGTGGCCGGGCGGGACGGGAGACGGAGGGCTGGATAGAGCAGGAGGCGGAGATGGGAACGGCGACGCTTGGAAGGGGGAAAACGAGAAAGGCAGACCACTACTCACCTGTATTAGTGGTGGTATTCGCGGACGCAGAGGGCGAGGGTGAAGCGCTCTGCATCTTCAAGCTCCGGTTCTGACTCAGCATGAAGTGGACGGAGGATTGATTACTACAGGCACCCGAGAGGACTTATAAAGAGGGCCCGGACGATGAGACTGGTGGATGAGACGGGCGACCGATGCGGCAGTTCGAATATGTTTAGGTAATCGTCTGCGACCTTAGCGCGTCGAAGAGGAGGGGAACCTGAAGAGGGTGTGGGTAGCTGCGATGGGTTGTGTTGTGGGAAAGCGTGTTGGAGGTGGACGCGGTAACGTAAGGTGAGGCAGGGAAGGTGGCCCGTAGAGGGACGCAAGTATCCGAAGGTACCGTTGTGGTGAGGTAAGAACCAAGGAAAGGGAAGGCCGTCCGTCGCCCGCTTGCCGTGCGAGTGGTAAGGGTGAGTGACGGGTTGCGTTGAGGCAGAGGTGAGCAGCAGCAGCAACAACAAGGTGAGGTAAGGCAGGTGGCAGGCCGTGGGTGGTGGTCGTAGCTTGGACCTTTTTCTGATCCGCGGCAGCATGCAAAATGCGTCCCGTCCCTCTTTTTTTTTTTTTTTTTNTTTTTTTTTTTTTTTTGTCACGCCAGTTGGTGCCAATGCGCCCAGGTGCGGCCAGGTGGTGGTGGTGGTGGTGGTGTGGAAGGGGAGCTGCTTGCCTGGTGAGCTCTGAGCTCCGAGCGCACGTCGACGGGAGCTTGATGGAGGGGGTGGGAAGGCAGGTGAATGGACGAGAGGGGGAAAATGCCTGGTGGCTTAGAGAGCTGTTTTGAGGCGTTGAGTGTGTCGTGTCGTCCTGTTTCCTGGTCGCCAAAACCACGCAGACACGCAGGCACGCAGGATTCCTGTGATGGATGGATCGAGAGTCGAAGCTGCCTTCGAAGGGAAAATCGAATGGCTGGGGGCGAAGGATTGGCTGATTGGATTCGGATGCGAAAGACGAAGGGACGCGACGAGACGAAGAGAATCTCGGTAGGGCGGATGCTTGTAGCAGGTAGCAGCAGGTACCGACAAGAGGTCCCAGGGTGGTACTTTCGTCCGCCGTTCCGACCCGGTGCTCTGTTGCTGCGCGCAAGTAGCCCAATGTATCTTTCTTGAAGAGGGAGACAGGTGCCAGCCTGCCTGCCGGGGCCGACGGGGCAGACGGTCACCCAACAAGGTCAGAGTGTACCAGCAGACCGTCATGCTTCAGCCAACCGATCTCATCATCTATTTCAATTCCTGAAGATTGAACTTTATGCATTGTTGACGGCCATCCAATTCTGCGTTTTGTCCATTTCTCATCTGTCACGATAGCTTATTCTGCCATCTCTTAAGTAGAGGACCAGCTACCTCTCGGCCTGAGGTAATCAACCATGTCTGGATTCAACGGAAAACACACGAATCTATGTCTCCCGCATGCTTCACCCAGCTAGATAAACAGGCTCAGCTGCGCACCGAGCTGAAGACCTGTAATCACCACATGCGCGATACCGCACAGTACCTGTCCTGCTGTGTAGCCTCGAGCGCTCCCTTTGCCATCAGAGGAGCTGCTGTGTCAGGCAGCACAGGTCAGCCACGTGATGCCGTCTGTTTCGATTGGCCATCCCCTCGCTGGCGGCTCGCAATCGCATTTGCTTTCGAGCGGTGCTGCTGATGATTCACCGAGGTCTGTCTGGCACCCCGAGGTACCTCCTTTGACACAAAGTTGTTCCACGCATCCGATGCCCCGGCTACATGGCCGTCGGGCGTGACAAGTTACTGTCAGCAAAACTGGTTTGTCAGCACAGCGACGAAGGGCCGGGTCCGCCAGTGGGTTTATTGGCTGGATCTGGTCTGGCGCAAAGAGTGACGGCACCCAAACGCGATCCCATACAGAGAAAACAAATAAGCGGGACAAATTACCTCATCCAAGGCGTCTCCACAGGGGCCAACCCAACACCTTGGCATTGCCGCCCGCACATTCACTCACGGCGAGGCGACGGACATGTCGAAAGAGCCGACCGGAACCCGTCACGCAGGTACATTAAATCAGGGCAGGTGTTAACTACCCCTGCACGCAACCACGAGCGAATTTACCGAAGCCTCACCGAGATATTCCCTATTCGGCAGTAGGTAGGGCGATGCCAGTGCCATCGCGCGCGGACTGGTCCCCACGTTGCTGCTGTCAATTTATCCCGCTTCACTCGACTCTCGCGTCGACATGTCAGGCTTGGGAAAAAGACGCATTTGCAGACCGCATGGCCTCGGACAACAGGCACCGCGACTTCCGTTGCTTGACTTACATAAGCCGACGGCTTGGCGTACCTGCATCCACGTCTGTTGCATTTGGCGGAGTTGAACCCCGGTGCTTTTCTGACGATGCGATCTGGCCAATGACATGTTATTGACTCGATTACGTGATGATGCATTTGAGCATTGCGTCGCAAGGGTCGCTGTTGAGTTGTTCATATAGTTCTGGTAGGCCCGTCTGACTTGTGGCAGTTGACTTTCCAGACTGATGAGGTGAAGTAGAACGAAACGACGAGTTCGAAATATTAGATGAAGAGCCAAAAGGATGTGGCCGAAGCCAGCATTCGGGTTTCATACCGAGTTCGCAACAAAGGCTCAGAGCGTGACACCTCCATTTCACTTGAGCCTTCACTTGACTGGAAAGGGGTGAAGCCGGACCTGAACATAAGGGGAGACCTCTGCCACGTTGCTGCTTCTGTGATTCACCGGGTCCGGATGAGAGCCTGGGCCAGTTCACCATCTATGACTTGCGCTGTATGCGTGTCATCGAATAAGAGTCGACAGACATATACACATGAATGACAATAGACTTCACCAAGTGCCCTTTCCACGAAGCTTTCCAATCTACAGACTCTCGCATGATGGCTCTGAGTAGCTCGCTCAGCTACAGACCACGTCACTCCGTCGGTTCAACGGTGGTCTTCGGACTTCCGCACACTCATCAACATTCTTCTATTCAGCTCTCCGGGAATAGAGCTCACCGTGTGCTCCAAGCTACTGAATCATCGAGGACGACAATCATCCATACCAGCTCGCCGCTTCACCGGCTATCCCATTGGCTTCCTGCCAGCAAGCTCTGCACTTGCACCAAATAGCCATGTCCACCTCGGCGATGGGAAGAGCAAACCCATGAGTGATGCCGTGTTTTCGGGGAATCCTGCCGAGATCAATTGGATGTTTTGCTGACTATGCAGCAACTCAAACACGGCAGCATGCATCCCTTTCGAGGGAGGGGCATAGCAGACCACGATAATCAACCCAACGCCAGTCATGACAGCTCGCTAATGCATCTATAGAACGATTCCATCACCTCCAAGCATGCATTGTGCACAGTCAGCGTTGCGGCGGCTGGGATGCCCCGCTCCGGCTGCGTATATGCGGAGTTATGAACGAACCGGCGAGTCTAATGGCGCGGGGGGGCCCAGAGGCGGGACATCACGAGCTACAACAACAACCACGACGCAGTCTACCGTCTTGGCGACCCTAAACTGGCGGACGAGGCTCCTCCCCGGCCGACCAGATGCGGAGTACCGCTATCATTGAGAAGATGATTCACCAAACTACTGCTCTATTTTTCTTGCCATGCTCTCCTCGTCTAAGACTCAAGGAGACTTGAACAGCCTCCCCCCTTTCCAGACGTGCGTAATATTTTCCTGGTTCAACAGCACCTTTATATCGTCGAGCGGGCTCTCCGCAACGGCAATCAGGTCCGCATCAAACCCCTCTTTCAACTGTCCACTCAGGGGCGCCATCCCGCCCAGCACTTCAGGGGCATTGGCCGTGCCGGCCTCGATAGCCTGCAGCGGCGTCATGCCCCTCTTCACAGCCCAGTAAAGCTCCCTGGCGTTGTTTCCGTGCGCCATCTCCTTGGTGTGGTCGCTGCTGAGCGTGTCCGTCCCAAGAGCAATCTTGATGCCCCTCTTGATGGCCAGCGAATACGAGTCCGCGGCCCTCTGGAGGAGCTTCTCGATCTTGCGCGCCATGTGCGGCGGTAGCGTGGGGTCCTTGCTGACGGTGTTAACAATGTGCTGCGTGGCCACGAAGATGGCGCCCTTCTCCAGCATAGCATCGGCGACCTCGTCGTCCAGGTACATGCCGTGCTCGATGCTCTTCACGCCGGCCCGCAACGCAGCCATGATGCCCGCCTTGCCGATGGCGTGGGCCGCAACCGCCCGACGGGAGCGCGCGGCCTCGTCGACGATGGCCTTGAGCTCGTCGTCCGAGAATTGCCTGTCTTCGGGGTCATCCAGCACGCTCAACACGCCGCCGCTCGAGCAGACCTTGATACACCGCGCACCGCGGCGCACCAGCAGCCTCACCTGCTTGGTGCAGTCGTCCGGGCCGTCCGCGATGGCGCAGGGCCCGCCGCACCTGGCGAAGTTGACCACCGTGTCGATGGGAGACGTGTGCTCGTCGCCGTGGCCGCCGCTGATGGACATGGCGGCGATGGAGGAGTACACGTTCGGGGCCACGAGACGCCCAGACTCGATGGCGGGGACGAGATCGCCGGCGTACCCGCAGAGCTCCCGGACGG